CCTTTCCTCAAGGAACAACACAGTAGTTTTCCCTAAGCCGTCCTATATATATTTGCCAATTCAGCTAAATTCAAAAGAAAGAAAAAAATATAATTATCTGGAAGCAATTAGGCTTTTTTTTATACTTCTGACATTAGGATAGAAGGGTATGTAAAAGCCAAAAACATTGAGGGAATTTTGAGTAACAGTTTCCACTGGATTTTAAACGCTCCCCTCCAATGCTTCTAAACACCCCCCTCTCATGCACCTTGCTGACTTCGCTAATAAGTATGAATAAAACCTGCCATTGATCAAGTGAACCACTCATTATGGTGTTCTAATGAATTTATGATACTGTGAGGTCAAATGTCAACAGGAGGTACTAACAAGCAGCAGCTGTGATGTGATTTAGGCTGTAATTAGAAGCTGTGCAGTCAAACAACTGGGATTTTTTAGCCTTACCAAGCAGACAACCTGGTATATGTTCTCTTCTTTTGACCAAAATAAAAAAAAATTGACCTTTTGGACTTCAGATCAGGATCATGTGTATCAGTCTGATACTTTAATCTGCATACAAAACAATCCTATAAATATCTTCATCTAAAAGTGTAACAGTTCCCTATTCTATGCTGTGAATGGGTGTAAAATGTAGGTTCTGCAGATTAAAAAAAGATAATTCCTCTTCTGTTCGGTGTTCCAGCCTCCCATTTGTATTTACCGTAACTGTAAATTCTACACTAATTACATTTTTTCTTACTGTGTGAAACCAAAGATAGAAGTGGTCTGGTTGATGTGGCATTGGGGTGAAGCATGGTTAGTTAGCAGCCCAGGAGTTCTCTCCACATGTGGTTATGCAGTGGTTGGGATTGTCTGGGTGAGAAGGAGGGCATGCCACTCTTCACAGTTCACCCAGTTTATGCCTACTCATTCGGACAGATTATATAACCAAATGAAGGCCTGCTGTTTGGGTTACAGTTTAGTAAGGGAGCCTCTGTGGCTGTAGACACAGCTGCTATCCATGTGGGAAATTGTATATAATTTTTGACAGGCATTTTGTGGTGCAGATCCCATAAGCTGTGCACAGAAATGAGGTTTTCCATAAAGATGACGCATTGCTCTACTGCATCAGAGCAATTTTTTGCTCAGATAACTTTGCCCTTTTCTTTGCTCAAGTATTCATACCACCATTTTTTCCTGTTATAATTACAATTCTTGTTGTAGCTTATTATGATCTTATGTGATATAAGTTATATGAAACTGTGAAGTGAGAGCAAAAAATTCCTAATTTATATTGACAAATTAAAATATGCAAATGGTATGTCTTTGCTCCTCTAAAAACTTGCCTTTATATATCAGCCAACCCTATTGCCGAAATAGAAACACGCATGTTCCTTGAAGGCATCAGAGGTTTGGTATATAATATTAGAGAACAAGCAGCATTAATCAGATAAACAGCCAAGAGGCTGATGTTAACTTTGTTGGAACTGCAGAGATCATGAGCTCAGGAGGGAAAAAGTGGCATATTATACAGTAGTAGTGGAAGCATAAGGGCAGTGAGAATACATCACTCTAGAAAGCTGGACAGAGATGAGGGAAAGATGCACAAAGATAAAACAAAATGACAAAAAAACAAAAAAAAACTCTATTAGCGGTTGCTCTCCATCCCATAGAACTGATTTTGAGTTATTCTAAAAAGAGGATAAAACTTAACCCAAAAAATTTTCAAATCAGAGATTTCTGAAGACAAAAAGGTTTACTGGATGTTATTTAAGACTATCATAAATATACGTGAAAGTCAAACTTTTAGATTTTAATATGTAAGAGATTTGGAAATCGTATTATTTTTATTCTTCCTTATATTTATGAACTACCTCATATTAGTCTATGCATAAACCTGATTCAAAATTACTGAAAATTTGTGCTTGTAAAATGTAAAAAAAAAAAAAAAGTTAATCTACTATAAATACTTTTGCCAGACACTGCATACATCTGAATCCATACAGTACAATATGAAGCAATGTAACCGCTCCACATAATCAGTTTAATGACTTGGCCAGAGTGAAGAAATGTGCCTAACTGTATTAAAACACAGAAGCAGACACCAAAGAGAGAAAGATTCTTGTGGGTGACTGTGTAATTTAATTTAGTATGGACATTAAAAGTCGGGGAATATAGTTTACATGTGGAACAGCTTGGGCCCATGCAGGAGTAACAGGCAACTACTTCTACAAATCTAAAAATCTCTACCACACTTCTGAGATGAACGTTAGAACAAACAGAAAAATGAAAACCTTCCGTATAACTTTAAGGGCTGATTTAGGTTACCTTGTCTTTTCTCGCTTCTTCCTGTTCTAATTAAGAGCCCGCAAACTTTGGTTAAAGTTTCTCCCCACATTACAGAGAGGAAGGCAAGATCTGGGGAAAACACTTCCAGTCATTTCTCAAAAAAAAAAAAAGTGAAAGAGACTCTCCTTGCTTTGCTGTAGTTGACTTTGGCACTGATTGTCTTCTTTTGGCAAAACATTTGACAAGATAAGTGGATGAAGTAAAGTGATCACCTGCTGGAAATGTACATTTAAACTACATTTAACCACACCGATAATTATGGAATTCCTTTTGTAAAATGACAATAGTAAAATGCACTTTGTATTTTCGTTCTGGTGTGCTTCACAACAATCCAGTGTGACGCCTACCATTTTACGTGCCGTGCTTGTTGATAATTGCATGCTTACACACATTTATGCTCCTCAGAGCACATGCACAATGAGTAAGCACTTTTCCATGGATTGGATTAGAGCTAGAGAGACATAAGCTTGACAGTTAACTGCTTTACAGACTTTCTGTATGCACACACACACAGACCTGCACACACGCTAAACTTGGCCCTAGTGTTAAGACAACAGCTGCTGAAAAGGAAGCCAGCATAGCAGTCTGAATATAAGCCTTTTCAAGTCTTTTTTCCTCATTTGATTTGAGTTATTTTAAATCATTAGGCCCAATATTTTTTCACTATTTGATCAGTTTTAGTAAAAGTCAATATTATAAGAACTTACCTTCCAATGTGTCGTCGGAACTCTGCATGCAAAAGTGTCAGTTTATATTATTTCCATGTTAGAGATCCAGTTCCCTCAGCCACCTGCAGTGTCCATTGAGCAAGGTAAACTGCAGTCCAGCACACTCATAGCTTGTCTTTTCATAGGGAGGTCAGTGATAAAAATCATCCCACAATACATGAACAAAGACAGCTGCAACAAAGACAGTGATTCAGTCCTGCTGCTTATCTCCCCCTCTCTGGATAATGTACCTTCAGGGTCATAAAATTGACATTTGGCTGGATGGGAAAGGTTTATTACAGAAACAAACTCACTTGGTAAAGGACAGAACTTTTGTGTACACTTATAAAGTGAGTTATAATGGTGAATGATGGTTTAACTTTTTAAAGTAAAGTCATTTCTTAATGATGAGGCTCAGGTTTTTTATTTGGTTACATTTAAATATGATTTTTGACTAAAATTAACTTACCAAGGAAATATTAAAATCAAGAACCAATTTTAAATATTTGATAAGACTTTCTGAGCTTATCTCAAAAAGTCTTATTTTTAATATAAATAAAGATTACCTTTTAGAAAAGTATATCAAAACAATTTTTAGTTTCAATTTTAATGATCTGCTGAAAAGTGAAAAGTTTAAACATTTTAAGGAGTCCTTAACCAGCAAACCCTTACAAATAATTCTTTAAATACTAAAATGTTAATCTTTATTGTTCATGATTAGCATATTTTAAGGACTTTAATGTCCAGAATTATACAAAAACACTGAAAACACAACATAAAATGAGACCAAACTCCAAAGACCTGGAGAGCTTCACAGCCTATCATTGAACTCGTTAAAACTATATAAACACATCTGAACTCATTCTAACAAGTCTGCATGTGAACCTATTTTTTGCATAAACACACATAAGTTATATAATTCTGAGGCATTTACTTCAGAGGTTAAGTTATCTGTGTAACCTGATGCTAAATTAGCTAAAGCTGGATAAAAATTAAGATTCTTAGACAAACGCACAAAAAAACTTTCCATCGATCAGCTTATGAAATTTTTTTACGTAGCAAATTTGAAATACTTTTGAATTTTTAATGAAGGTCACATAGCCCCATGATCAGAGTACAAGCTAATAATTAAATTATTCCATCCATTTTCTTACATGCTTATCCCCAGTGGGGTCACGAAGGGTGCTGGTGCCTATCTCCAGCCGTGTACAGGTGAGAGGTGGGGTACACCCTGGACAGGTTGCCAGTCTATCGCAAGGCAACACAGAGACACACAACCATTCATGCACACACTCAAACCTAAGGACAATTACAAGAAGCCAATTAACCTAAAAGTCATACTTCTGGACTATGGGAGGAAGCCAGAATACCTGGAAACCACACATCATCAGGGAGAACATGCAAACTCTATGCAGAAAGACCTCGGGCCAGGAATCAAACCGAGAACCTGCTTGCTGCAAGGCAGCAGTGCTACCCACTGCACCACTGAGCATTTTAGTTGAGTTTGAACTGAATTTAAATTATTTTATTTTTTTACAACCTGGTAGAATTAAATAAAAAAAATACAATATCACAAATAAATGTTTATACCCGCTAAAATGTATGTTCAGAATGCAACATCCAATATACATGTCTATAAATATATTTCAATAACCATTTTCCTGAAACTGTCTAATATATAATCTGGTGATTTCTATTTTTAAATATCAATGATCCAAAATTTTCTGCTTACAAAACGTGTGTGTATATAATTTATTATGCTGTTATGCCATTGCAACAAACAATCTGTAAATGTCCATGCAGCTTCTGCAGAGCCATATAACACCATGAAAAAGAAAAGCATTTTAATAAAGAAAACCCAACAAATCCCTCAGCCAATGAGGAGAAGGTGTTGATTTGCTCCAGCCAATCCCCAGCGGAAGGTGGGGTGATGGATTTAAAAGTCTGACTCAAGTTGCAGTTACATGTAGCTCCTCGGCTCATACTGTGAACCACAACTTTGAAGGCTGTACCGCCAATGGCCGCTTTTAAAAAACAAGACAAACAAACAGAGGAAAAAACAAATAGGAGGTCTAGGTGACTGGAGCGGAATTCAACCAGGAGCTCTGTGCGTAAAAAGCGCAGCGGTTCTCTTTCTGCGCGCAACCTTTTCTTTTTGATTCCTACTAAACAGTTTCGGATTTTAACCCGTGCGGGACTGAGCACATTATGTTAAAAATGACAGAGGAACACGACAAGTGTGTCAACGACCAGCCGTGCAGCCCATCAGGGACAAACAGCTCCATGTCTCAGGATGAGTCCGACTCCGACGCGCCGTCCTCTCCAGCGGGTTCGGACGGACAGGGATCCCTGCTCAGCGGCTTGGGCAAGAAGCTGGATTCCGAGGACGATGAACGCTTCCCAGCCTGCATACGGGACGCGGTCTCACAGGTTCTGAAGGGATACGATTGGTCTCTAGTCCCGATGCCGGTAAGAGGCAACGGATCTCTGAAGAACAAGCCGCACGTCAAGAGACCTATGAATGCGTTCATGGTTTGGGCACAGGCGGCCCGCAGGAAGCTGGCGGATCAGTATCCACATCTGCACAACGCTGAGCTGAGCAAGACACTGGGGAAACTCTGGCGGTAAGGAAGAAGAAAGCATATGCAATTAAATAAAATAGAATATAGGTTGTTACTAAAATGATCACCATGTAGTGATGGCTGCAAACAAATATTCACTTACAGGCTTCTTGTGGGATTCTGGGTTAATAAAACTCAAAAAAATAAAAAAAGAAATAATTAAAGAACATATATGAACATATATATAGTTCAAATGCTAAATAAATGTAAATACTGTGAAATTTTTTTTTTTTCTTTTGCTATTCAAATTTTCCTTCTATATATTCCAACCAGCCTGCTTTCTGAAAGCGAGAAGAGGCCCTTTGTAGATGAAGCTGAGAGACTTCGGGTTCAACACAAAAAAGATCATCCAGACTATAAGTACCAGCCACGGCGACGGAAGAATGTCAAACCAGGCCAGAGCGACTCAGACTCAGGGGCAGAGTTGACACATCCCATGTATAAAGCAGAGCCAGTGATGGGGGGACTGGCAGGGATGCCTGATGGACACCCCCACTCTGAGCATGCAGGTATGTGGAAAAGAAATTCAGTAAAAACTAAAAATAGTAAGGGTTGAGGTTTTTTTGTGTGTGTATGTTTAAGTGATCTTATCATTGTATTTGACTTTTCTTTTCAGGCCAGCCTCATGGACCACCTACACCACCCACCACCCCCAAAACAGATCTCCATCATGGAGTTAAGCAGGACCTGAAGCACGAAGGCCGCCGCCTTGCCGACAGCAGCAGGCAAAACATTGACTTCAGCAATGTGGACATCAGTGAGCTGAGCACTGATGTCATCAGCAACATGGAGACCTTTGATGTTCATGAGTTTGACCAGTACCTCCCGCTGAACGGGCATGTGTCGGGCTCCTCTGCCTTATCCTCAGACCACAGTCACGGATCGGTTGCAGTTCCAGGAGGCTCCTATGCTTCCTCCTACAGCAGCGGGGCTTCATCCTGGAGCCGAAAGTGCGCCATGTCCTCCACATCTCCCCCCACTGGCGAGGTTGGCCAGCACCGTCTCCATATAAAAACAGAGCAGCTGAGCCCAAGCCACTACAGTGAGCACTCCCATGGGTCACCGTCGCACTCTGATTACAGCTCCTACAGCAGCCAAGCTTGTGTCACCACTGCCACTTCTGCCGCCTCGGGTGCTACCTCTTTCTCTAGCTCCCAGTGTGACTATACTGACCTGCAAAGCTCTAACTATTACAGCCCTTACTCTGGCTACCCCTCCAGCCTTTATCAATACCCTTACTTCCACTCATCCAGGCGGCCCTACAGCAGCCCAATCCTAAATAGTCTATCCATGGCTCCTGCCCACAGCCCCACTGCCTCCACTTGGGACCAGCCCGTCTACACCACTCTGTCTCGACCTTAAAGTGGACCAGAAAAAAATCAGTTTGCACCAGAGACTCATTCAGTATGATGCACTACTAATGAAGGACATAAGGCAAAAGTGAAGAGATGTATGAAGGGGCCTGTAGGGCCACCTGCGACCATTTGAACGTGAAACAAACAGAAAAAAGTGCCTGCTGATTTTATACAAAGTTCTATCATTGCCAAGAAAAAAAACAAACCCACACACTTGTACAGAGTTTTTACACAAAAAGAACTTGTGTTGATGGAGAGCCAAACTCCTCCGTGAGGACATGTTACTTAAGCTGACATCTTGTACATCCCTGTCCTTCTCTGAAGTTGCAAAAGTGAACCTTTAAGGAGCGGGAGCAGAACCACTGCAGAATCCTGCAGGAATGAAAAACTTTGGCTAACAGGATGAGTTATGTCGAAGCTGCAGTAAAATTTACATGAATGGCCGGGGCTATATATCGCAGCACACTATTTGCATCAGTGAATCCGCCTTAAAAAAAAAAAATAAGGCTCATCTGAATTTTGTGTCATTTTGCATAATAAGTCTTATAAGTATTTATGTTTATGCATTATTGAATTTTTGTTTTTGAATAGATACACATTCTACACGTGGGTTCTTTTTGGTTATTTAGAGTACTGTTTTATTGACTTAAATGAAAGGAGGTAAATGAAATAAAGCACCATGCATTTAATATTCCGTTGAATTTCCAGAAGGATCCTCATTCCAAGTTTGGGAGCAAACAGACAGGACCAACAGACTCTCGCACAGGACTCAGAACAGGTGTCTGAAATCTATGCTTGGCAAATCGCGATTAGTCATGATGCAGGCTTAAAGGAAATGGGGTAAAACAACACCACACGCTGAGTGACACGTCAGCTGGACCTCCTATACGTGTCCATGGGCAAGACAAGAATACGTTCACGATTGTGGATCCATGTGTGTTGAGAGAGATAATGTGCAGATGCATGTGTGAGCCCATTTTCTTCGGGGACTGAATATATATCCCATGACATAATCATAATACACAGAAAATGATACAGAAAACATCTTTTTCTTTCTTTATCTGCTGACAGTAAAATTAAGTGTAACTGTTTTCCCATATTTATTTTAAAAAATCATCAAAAGACAATTTTATTGCTGCATAAAAATATGTGCCTTCTAATGCCTATTGTCAGTATTTTGAAATGAAATTGAATTTTTAACTAACACATGGTTCACTCCAGAGACTCATTCCAAACGTTAATAGTTTAATATCGTTCCCTTAAGGACCAGTTTGCAAAATTAAAATAGATGATAACAGCATTTTTTTTTATATATATATATATCATTTTGGTGTATCATTTAGGAAAAAAGGCTCTGAAAATGATTGTCCTATTAACCACTTTTACACGCACATGCATATCTAACTCCTTTCCGCTGGCCGTTTTAAAAATAAAATAAATACTTTTTCTTGATGTTTTTTTTCGTTCCTCTGATTTCCATTCTTCACTACATCCAGTTCAATCCTGTGCTTTTTTTGTGTTCAAATATATTTGGAAGGAAATGTGAAGAAAACTATAATAAAATGAAAAACATTTCAATTGTGGGTTTGACTTTCTGCTGGTTGGTTTAAATTAATCATGTTTAAATTTGAAATGAGACATAAAACACATCAGAGAATTATTTTCTGGTATTCTTGCAACAAAAAAAATATATATTACGCAAACTGTATAAAAACTTCTATCTTTTTCTTTTCGTTTCTTTTGAAATTGTGTGTTGTCATATTGCAAAAGCTTAGAAACATATCTATCAAAGTTGTCAACTTTAGATTTATTCATTAAACAACCATTATAAAAGGAATGAGAAGAGATCCTGTCTCCCTTAGTCCAGTGTTGGCTCCGGTCTGGCATGCCAAGCCACCGTCCCTAACCAGTCTAAGGGCGATGCCAAGTGCCAGGGCAACACTGCTGAATTTTAATGATCCATTATGCTGTGGATGGGGCCCTATTGTGTCCCTTTATCCGGAGAGCTAGAAAGGAATTAATTGGACAGAAAATGGAAGGGCAAGGGGAACTGACAAGCCATTAAGAGGGTCCTGAATGGATGATTGGATGCACTAAGAGGAGAATCTCCCCCCTTCATATTACTGCACTCCACAAACAACAAAATAAACAATAAGAACAACCGCAATGACCACCGGACTAAATAGCAGAAATAATATCAGCACATATAATCTGAAGATAATAAAAGAAGATAATACCACAGCAGATGGGATGTGGGTGGCTCAAGAACGACTTGTTGTTTTTCTTCCCTCAAACTCTTTTTTTCACAAGTGTTTGCCAAATACTTTTAGGAGGAACTCTTGAGAAAGAAGAGGAGTGAATAAAAAGTGAGGCAAAAAGGCTCTTCAGGGTGCTTGGGTCCCGTTTCCTTGGAACAGATCCACAGTTTCTGATTGGGAATTTGGGTGTAAATAGGTGGGATGAAATGCATTGATGAGCTTTATTGTGAAATTAACTAATACAGTGCATTGGAGGAATGGCAATGCATTCTATGAACTACATTGCTATTTATGGCTTTGTGGTATTTCAATGTTGTGAAAAAAATAACCATAAACATAGAAAATCATAGAAAAGGAAAGACTTTTGCTTTTATTTAATTAAGAGGTGTCAAATAAATTTATTGGCAAGGAAGGGAAAGGATGATCTTCTGCCCACTAATGCAATGCAGGGTGGACCCAGTAAAGCCACTACTTGCATCCTCCTGACCACATTCAGTAAGCATTGCAAGGATCAGGAGAGCTGACCTGGTAATAGTCTACCTAATGAGCCTGTCTGACTCGGGACATGTTTGGAGAAAAAGGAGGGACCTGGGAACTGTGAAAAGCCCAAGAATGTGAGGCTGATTTGCAAGGGAAATGAAGTGGACATGAAGCACAGTTATGGTCTGCTGCTGAATCTGCATGGCCTTATTTCTCTAGACTAAAAAAGTTTCCTGAATGTGTCAGAGTATTTAGTTGGCCAGTGTCTCTATCAATCTAACAAAGCTGTGCATAATGAATTGATGAATTTTGATATATAATGTCCAAAACTATTCATACTCATGGGAATGTATCACATTTACTGTGAATTACAACTGTAGTGTATTTAGTATCAATATATTTTAATGTGATTTTACTTTGGAAACGCGCAGTGAAAATCCACTGCACCTATTTCAGTAGTTTTAGATTAGCATATAATTTGTTAGCTCACGGTGCTGTGAAATTTACAACTGTTAGTTTGCTACAAAATTCCCCAGACCCTCAGGTTTGTATAACATTTTGCCTCACATGCAAAGTAAACATGAGCGCTAAATGTTAGCAGCTCCACCCAGGCACATAACTTCCTCAACTTTATATGTCCTCTCGTCTTGTTCCACTCATTAAAGGTAGGATTTTTTTTAACCTCCTGTCTCCTGTATTTGCACTTATAGCACGGTGGAGCAAAAGACTGGAGTAAAAAAACAAAATAAAATCTAAATTGATTCTAGCTTCATCAGAAATTGACATAAGAATGCAGTGCTGCAAGAAATACTTCTTTTTAGCAAACTGGTGCTACTAATGGAAAAATATTTAGCTTATTTCTATAAACCTGCCATCTGATGGCGCTTTAAGGATTTGCTAGTAAATTAGGATAGATCTATACCTGCAGCATTTTAAAATCTTTCACTGTCAAAATTATAATGCTTATGTAGATTTAAAAACTCTATTCATAGAAGTGCTATTTTGTTATTTAAAGGAGAAGAAATAAATCCTTAATATCTTAATATTTGCAAATAGTATTCTATATTTTTGCTCTGTATTATTCATTTTTTTCACCAATTAGATGCCGGATTCCAGAGATTGCAGAAAGTCAGAAAGTATTTACAAACTTTTTCTTTAAACTTTTATTTACAACAGATTTCATACATGTACTCCTTCACATCGCACAGATGTGAGATATATGTGACATACACACACATATATAA